ATTAATTCTCCAAATTCAATGACTTCTCAGTTCAGGGAGGTTCAGAGGCAGGCTCTGAGGTACTCCCTTCTCTTACCAATTTCCTGCCTGTGTGACTTCACCCTCTCCCATGCAGTCACCTGAAAACACTGTGCAAATTACGAACACTTTCTAAAAAGCTCTAATTTTGCTCAGATTTGTATAAAAATTATATTGTAAACATGTAAATATGGATGATGAGAGCAGTCTAGGATCTTAACAGGTTGTGTTCTTCCTATTTAATTAGTTGTAAATTGTATATTCTTCTGTCCCTTGACTTAGGAAACCACTTTAACCTGTGATTAAATCCGGTGAAATCAGGATCTCAGAACACATTTAAGGCTTAGCCTACTCTTCAGTGTCTGAAAGAGCAGCTTAACAACATGTATTCTTGAAAGAATATTTATCATGATAAACCAGTATTTCCTTGCCACTGGGACAGTCTCCAGACAATCCACCAGGAGAGATCTAGGAGATCATGAGACACTGAAAAATGCATTAAATAACACTGGGACAACTTAAACACTCAACTTTTGTGAGGTCTGCTGTAGTAAGTTTGGTAGCTCCACCCTTCATATACCCTGCAGGTGACTCTTGGCATTATCTCAGTGCTCCACAACCCACATTCCCTTATCATTCACCTTCAAGAATTCAGTCAGTCTCTTGAAACATGCATGGAAATGATGTATGCTTATACTGAGAATTGCAGAGACATACCATTCAGCACTCCTGTCTGAAACAACCAGTATAATTTATGGACATGAATAAATATTAGCATATTCATGTATATTTATGGATCTCTGCTTTTACTTTTATGAACCTGTGCAACAAACTTTACAACACCAGTATTTTCTTTTTCTCAGGGGAGTAAGGGATTAGTGGATATTAAACAGGTAAATATAGATTCATCTCTGTATAGCATCTTCTCTGACATTTTGCTAACCTGAAAAATCAGCTGCATCATTGTTATTCTGTGCTTTCTGGAAGTCCATGACTGAACTGTCAGCATGCTGGAGGTGGAAAACTATTAGAACCTTTTCTATATGCTATACCTTGTCAAAGTGTGGCAGAGCTGGTACAGTCCTTCCCCAAAGCCTTTCCAGGCACTGGGGCATACAGGGTATGTTCCCTTCTGGAAAAATAAATGTACCCCTGGTTGTTTAGTTAATTCTTCATTAATTCCTCAGAAGCAGGTTTTCCAATATAATAAAAATAGAAATATCTGCTATCACTTCTTGTGGACTCCCTTACATCAGAGAGTACAAATGGCTTCTTTTGATTATTTGATGTCATATGGAAAAGGGATTGAAAGTGAAAGAAACAACTCTCATGCAAGACAAAAGCAGCGTACATAGTTGCATGTGGTAAAATTTTCCCAAAGAGATAATTTAAATTACAAAGCTTATTTTTTTCATTGGCATTAATTAATCTCTTACCAAGACATTTAGGCACTGCAAACAGTAAATGGTCTTGTCTGCAAATATGATACACTACCGTGGGTGTTGTGAAAGCTAAACACAGCCCACAAGACAATTCCTCTCGTACCACCACTACCATCTTGAGCAACCTTGAAGTGGAGATGAAAGGAAACGACTAATTCCGGAGGTATATCCATGGTTTGCCATCACTTGGCAGAGACTGGCTTATTTGCCCAACAGCAGCTCCAGGGTTAAAAAAAGTGGAAAATGCAGATCAATGAACCTCTGAAAAGCCTCCTCAGCTGCTTCTGAAAATGGGTTTCTGCTGCAGTAATACTTTCACAAGAGTCTGTAGAGAGTTCTTGCTGCTGTTCTGTGTGAGTGCAGAAATGTGTTGGCACAACCTCTAGTCAGCCCTGGGAAGGCTGAGAGCCTGGTAAGACCAATGGAAAGGCTGAGCTTCTGCTCAACGGAGCAGTACTATATCGTCCACTATGCCTATGATGATTGTACTCTTAATGGGTGATAAATCATGTCAACCTCCCTAGCTGCCGTAATGTTTCCAATGCAACTACATCTATGTATCTATTTATCGTGATGTTTTATCTTGCGGGCTTTAAATATGATGTATTAAAACATGGTGCAGTGTAATACAAATGAAATGAGGCAAGTAACTGTAAAAGCCAAAATTAGGATACAGAGAACAATGTACTTCAAATTAAGTGGGAACGAGATTACTTGTTAGCTGAAAATAATGAGCACCTTCAGTGCCTTATGTGCATGCAAATGATAGGTGTGCCAAAGGAATATAATATCAGCTGACATTACAAAACCTACCACCATGAAAAACAAGACAAGTGCACTGGAGAACCTAATCATTACAGAATTAAAAGAAAATCCCCTGAAAATCAACAGCACAAGCAAAGAAGCATGCTGCATAAACTCAAAGCCTGGCTGTTCCAGATGAGACATGCCTCAGGTGAGCCCCTGCAATGGGATGGTGAGCCGGAAAAAAGTATGCAGTTTTAATGTTCTCTGCATCTATGGGTAAAAATATAAATAAATCAATACATCATGGAAGCTTGTTATCATCTCATGGAATTATAGAAAGCAGAATTGTTGATGCAATCAATCACACACTCAGAATTTGAGACCAATCACAGAAAAAGGTAAGCAATTATCATTGACCTTGAATGAGACCACAATCAGCAGCGAAACCAGGCAGTTATTACCTTGCAGCCGAAGTTTTCTTTGCAAAACAAATGGGGCAGTACTTTTAATGTACATTGGAAGTACTTCTTTCTACCACTAGCTTGTGGAACAGCTTTCAAAACTCCCTTGTCACAAATAATGACAAGCACTGACTGTCTAGAGAAGTCAGTTAATGAGTTTGCTGAAAAGAAACTGCAGCTGAATACCTCACTTTCACTGCACAATACATTACCAGGCGGTGGTAAATCTATGAAACAAGGAACATGAAGGCTGGTGTCGTACATATAGTTAACCTCATTCACAGAAGAAATACTGCACACACAGAAAATGTATCAAGTTTCTTATGGAGCTGTATCCAAACTACAGGAATTTACCCCTTCATTTAAAAGGTGGGTGACTGTAAGGGGGGAAGGTGCCTGCTTTAGTTTGCCAAATGTGCATATCTTGAAGAATAGAGAGCAAATAACACATTTCAGTTACAAGAGTCTATCTCTGCTCATTGGTCTTTCTACCAGCTTTGTAACAGCTCCAGTCTGCATGGTGCCTAAATTTTGAGAGAGCTATTGAGGTCACCTATTATCCATGGAAGAGCTTAAAATTTACCAGAGTTCCCACACTGGACAGCAAATTTTTCTGCAAAGACCCCCCCAAGTACTTAAAACTATCCCAAACTGAACTCTTACAGCTGTAACTGAGAAAGACGTGTCTAAACTCATCTCCAGAGAGCCTATTCCCACACCTAGAATCCATGAATAGCACTGAATTTATCTCAAAATCCATTTAGTACTCCCAGCTGACATTAGCACTCTTATTCTGCCCATGAAGCGAGCTGTGCCAGAAGACTGCTCAGAACAGCAGTGTAGAGAATAGCTTAGGATGAGGTCCCTATCCTCTCTCCTCTCAACTCCCAGTAACTCACTTGTGAGATAGATACAGTATTTACATTTTGCATTATAGAGCCGGGTAAACTGCATACATATAAATGGAAATACAGTTTGCATTCCAAGACTTTTAGACTTTCAATTTCAAGAGTATCTTCAGCAACAAGATACAGGGACTTTGGGTCCATTTTTGTATTCTTCTTGGTTCTGCCTTTCCTTTCTGAGCAATAAGCTAGTTGCAACAAGAGGGATGAGGAATTGCCTGCATCCTATGGCATTCTACCATTTTCCTTTGGAAAATCGGAATCAGTGGGTTCAGCTTACTCAAGACTTTAAAGATCCTAGAAAAAAAAATTTGTCTTCTGAGAAGAGGCTGCCAGAGCTACATCCTCCACTGATACCTGCCTGCTTTGAAGACACAAAACAGCATTTTGAACTCTGAAGTTACATTTACAGTGGCATATAAGCCAAGATCAAGGTATGCACGTGAACACAGGACTACATAGTACTTCATTGTTACTACAGTTGGCCAATAACTACTGGTTTAGCATCATCTGGAGACAGCATATGCCAAGAACCATCCCCGACAGGAAACCTGGATGCAGTCACACTGTTTTTGAGGAGTGAGAAGAAAATGCAGCCATATGGATGTGAAGTGGGGGCCCCACATGGCCCCTACTTGCAAAAATGTCTCGGTGTCCAGAGTTACTTCTGGCAAAGCTAAACCTGCTGACTTTAGATGATTTTCAAGAGTGTTTTCCACTCATAAGCCCTGAGCAGTTCCCCATTTCAGCATACAGGAATCCTGCATGCCCGGGCAGCCCTGGGCAGTCAAGGCAGAGAGGTCAGTGCCCTGTGCAAGTACCTTGAATCCCTTTTTACAGGGGCTTATAGTTTTTTACTGACTGTGGAAGAAATGTTGCCGTAATATTTTTTGGCACAGCAATGCTTCAGTTCCAGATATGGAAATCACTTTTATGCACAACAGTGAAGCATGGAATTTTCAGCTTGCTTCTTAATGATATCATTTCCTACCTGAAAAACTTTGCAATGAAGTACTGCTTAATGTACAGAAGCACGTGCATCTGTGAAAGTATGCTCCCAGGAATAAAATCTGTAAAATCAAAAGACTTCAACAAGCCAGAAAGCAATGGCCTTGGCTGCCAATTCTTATTCACCACTGTGAATATTGACATTGACATTTGGGAAGAAAATATTTGTTCCGAGAAATAAACTGTTCTCTTATTGAATGATACTGCATTCTTTTTACCTCTTTAAGAAATCAAGTCCAAACTATCTATCTTGTGATCTGCAGTTGTGCCCCGAACCTGGTACCTAATCAAAACTGGAATTAGTTATTTTTAATGGCAGCACTTCCCAGTTTATCAGTTCGATAGAAACAGCAATGATAGAAAGCAGCAATGGCCATTTTTTCCTCTGCTCCTCACAGATAAAACAGTACACACACAAAACCAGGACAAACATAAGTTTGTTACAGCCTATAAGTCATGAATCCAGATTCCCTTATCTGCCGCAGCTTTCAAAACATTTTTTTAAGCATCTGAAAACATGCCCTCTTTTCGCTTTGCAGTTTCTTTACCATGGGATCAGATAAGAAAGCTTTTTTGATCAGTCAAAATGTAATGTCAAAGTGCCAGGACAATAAGCCACTAATACACAAAGTATCTTTTCTTTTACTAGGGTCTGCAACACATTATCATGTTAAGAAAATGCTGATGCATGGGATGAAAAGCCTAAGTCCTTCTATGCAATTGGTACTTTAAGAACTTAATACTTGATTTCTGGGCCCCTCAGTTCAAGAAGGACAGGGACCTGCTGGAGAGAGTCCAGCGCAGGGCAGCTAAGATGATTAACAGAGTGGATCATCTGCCTTATGAGGAAAGACTGAGGGAGCTGGGTCTCTATAGTTTGGAGAAGAGGAGACTGAGGGGTGACCTTATTAGTGTATATAAATATATAAAGGGGGAGTGTCACGAGGATGGAGACAGGCTCTATTCAGTGGCAAACAATGATAGGACAAGGGGCAATAGGTACAAACTGGAACACAAGAGGTTCCACTTAAACTTGAGGAGAAACTTCTTCTCAGTGAGGGTGACAGAACACTGGAACAGGCTGCCCAGGGAGGTTGTGGAGTCTCCTTCTTTGGAGACATTCAAAGCCTGCCTGGACACGTTCCTGTGTAACCTTATCTAGGTGTTCCTGCTCCGGCAGGGGGATTGGACTAGATGATCTTTTGAGGTCCCTTCCAATCTCTAGCATACTGTGATACTGTGATACATTTTCATGTGTTTCTTTCATTTTTTCTTTCACAAAGATCATTAATAAAGATGGAATGAATCTTTTAGTATATTAATTCCACAGTCTGTGGTCAGACTGCCAGCTAGTTTAATGTGACCAACTCTGTTTTCAGCATTTTCACTGACTGAGAATATGGCCTGAAATAAACCAACCCAAAAATGGTTGATAGAATTAGTGTGGAACAATAATTGTATTTCTGACGAGGAAGGCAAGGATTGGCTGCTGATGCTGCAGGCTACTCAAGGATGGTTAATTGTATTCATGAACTATTTGTAAGACAGCAAGCTGCCAAAACCTCAGACATTTCCAACATGGTAATTCTGGAATGCTGTAGTAAATAGGAAAAAACAGATGTCATAATGTGTTTCATCTAGTTTAAAACTTAACATGTAATTAACTTAATGGCTTGACAATAGCTGATGTAGCAACAAATATAATGCAATTAAATTAGTACCTCATTATGACATCAAATTCTTCTACATATGCATCAGCAAATAAAGATCAAATTTTGAGACATTGATATATTTTACGGCGACTAAACTGGCCTTAAAATGCAATTACGTGTAATATTTCCTTTGTATTTTACCACTTGGGGACATTATTTCATTTTTGTAACAGTGTACTTTCTGTAGTCTTTTCATTGCACCGCTAGTGAAAGCTGTTCCTTGGTTTACTGTTTCAAATGCTGTATCTAGGTACTTGGACTTTTACATTCATTATGTAGCATAAAGCCTTCAAATTCTTTATCTGTTGTACTGTTGGCTCTTTGTCCAAAGTGGTGTAGGCAATGATGATGGTTCTTTCACATCTTCTCCAAGTATTATGGTGGACTTCAGGTGGTCTGTTTTATGCATACAGCAGCATGTTGGGACAGACTCCTGTTCACATATTATTTTGGACTTCCCAAAGGTTTCTAAAGGTGTTATTAGGGTTTCCCAATTGTTAGTGCTGCAGGAAGAAAAAGGGTAAGAGTCCGCTGAAGAAGAATAGCTTTAAAAAAATATGTGGAGTCCCAAACAATTCTTGTTACAGAACAGCACTGTGCAGTTTCTGTGGCAGTTTCCTATGTGCAGTTTGCATTCAAAGAAAGCAAAAATACATTCTGAGTGATAGAGTTCTGATAGTGATAGAGTTGTGTTAAACAGCAATTAATTTCACTCTGAGTTATGTAACTTTTTCAAGTGATTCACATCTTCCAAACTCACCATGCTAGCGCATTCTTATTAAAGATATTGTACCCAGTTAGGGAGAATTCTGTCAGGAGAAAGGTTGAAACTACAGCCTAATGCAGATCCTGATAAAATTTAATGTTATTTTCCATTGACTGCAGTAGATGAGGTCCTCGATGCTGACAATTAAATGGTCCTCTGATGTTGTGGGCATCTATTGCTTGCTTTTTCACTTGCCAGGATATTATTAGGAGAGAGGGATCAGTAAAAAGGAATCTGAAACCTGATCCAGTGCTGAGGAATGCCTTTTGAATGTGTCATTTGAACTCAGTTAATACTTCTGGGAGGTGTGAATGTTTTGCATGACTCTTTGCTCGAAACCTGAAATGGACCATGAAAAGTAGTAAAAAAGTTATGCAAGCTTTCATGCAATTAAGCAAAGTCGTTTCAAAGAGATAATTATATACTGCTGAAGCTGTCCATCAAGATACCCAATAAAACACATCAAGTATCTGTTGTGTGTTTCTTCTTTCACCTTACAGTAAGGTCCATTCATTTTCTGGGTTTTAAAAACACCTATGAATTTCTGTATATATTTGAACTATATGGTCTTTAAGGTATTTTCCAAGCTAAACTATTCTGATTCTGCTATTCTTTATGTAGATCCTGCACACTTAGATGATCTCTTTTGTTCTCAAATTACATTTATTCCCTCCTGAATGTTGCTCCATCTCAATTTCTAAAACGCTGAATGGGCAAATTGTTTCCATGAAGCATTTCATATGAACAGTTTATGAAGTGTGAACAATAAAGGACTGTCTAATGACTGCTTATCATGACTTTCAAAGTTAACTGATACAGAACCCCTGCTCAGGGAAAACTGGGTTTTATTGCATCTAGCAGGAAATTCTAGGGAATATTATAAAATGACCAGTTTTAAGGAAGTAAGATGGATGGCTGGTGGTAAAATGCTTACAAGATGTGGCTATGTAATACTGAACTGATGTGCAACTCCTCCTTCACAGTGAAATATGGTAAAATAGATACATTTTTAGAAATTTATTGGAGACCCTTTCCAGCAGGGGTCAGAATGAAAAAGGAAAACAGCAGTACGTGCTGAGGCTGAACAGCTAAAAGCACAAGTGCATCAGTCACTCAGATGTGGTTTAGCATTCTTTTCAACACAGATCATTTTGCCTTGATTTTCCAAACAAGTGCTGTCACCTCTGATGCACACCCACTGAGTTGTTCTCGCTGTGTGTAGGTTGTCGCACAGAGGCAACAAACAGGGTTCCCTTAGAGAGCCTCCATCTTTGATAGCAGTTCAGAAAGGCGAAGCTGCTGATTGGAGTCAGCATGCTCTATCTCTACGGTCTTCTGGAGGAAAAGTTCATTAGCTGCTTTGCATGCCAAGGGACCAGCTGTCCTTCGGCACATGGAGCAGCTCTGATTGACCAGGAGGACAAGTGGGAAATAAGCTCACAGCAGCGCCAGCACAGCATATGGTCATGTACCAGCTGTTTCTGAAACGCTTGCCAAACCCAGATTGGAATAGTGTTGGCTGTTAGGAAAATAAACCCCAATAAAAACCAACAAGCAAACAAAAAATTCCACCGTCAGGATTCTGGAGATCTGACCACAAAACCAGAATTGTCAATTTGAAATATCACTCAGCAACTACGTGGATATTCAGAGCAATCTGTCAGTGGCTCGCATACTCTGACTTGTGCCATTAGAACACCGATGTTCTGAGCATGTCCTTTCTACAGAGCTTTCAGAGAGAATAACAAAAAACTAGAGAAAGGGTGAAGTAAGGTAAGTGGATTCCTATTAGTTATATACATTACTAATATACCTAGAACACATTCAAAAGACTGAATGGAGATTGATTTAAATTGGTGCCAGCTGTTATTACAGACAAATCTCAGGTGTCCCACATTTCGCTGTATTTTATTTCTACCTTGAAAAGGGGAATTCAGATTCTGAGCTCACAAACAAAAGGAGATTTGATTGCAACTGGCGGGAGTTGTATTACAGTGTTTGTGAAATGCTTCTGATAAACCAGCGGAATGACTCAGCAGAAAACAGTCAGCAGGATTTTTTTCCCCAAAGCTTTTCAGTTTCAGCTTTTCATAACAGGAAAATAACTTGAATGGTAATTAAATGGTTCAAAGAACGAAGCTGTCCTTCTATCACAGGGCTTAAAGCACTGCTCTGCAGAGCTCTCCCATAGTACTCCTTCAAGGTTTGGAGAAGGCCATGCTGATTAGCTGCACGCTCATATGACATCAATTACTGCCTTGGCAGTGTTTAAGAGAACGTTGGTAGCTCATGTGGTGACAGAATCCTGCATGGTTTAACTTTTGGGTAGCCCAAATTACGTGCTAAGGTTGCTTGAAAAAGGTGGACCCCAGCTGAAACAAAACCAAGAGCAAAGCTGCTCCTGTATCAGGAAATGAGTATGTAAGCTGGGAGGCAGTGGTTACTATCTTGGTTTGAATTCATGTTTCTTACGAGACATACTTTTATATGCAGGCTTAACTTGTCAAAAGGCCTAAACAGGACTTCCTCTGGGGTGAGGGAGGATTATCTTCTAGAGGATTAGGTCGGTTCCAGTGAGTGAAGATGTAGTTTCCACAAAAGAAGTAGTCTTGGGCAATGTGGATGACATACCACATTTTGGAACTCTAGGAGCCACACATTTAACAGTGTATTAAAGGAAAAAAACCCTTATGATTATGCACAGACAGAAAACTGACTTTGACATCTTAACATAATACTGACTTTCCTTAGACCAGTATGTGTTCATGTATTTGAGAAATGCAAGGTGCTAGTGTAGACCTGAAAAGGGCGTTATTATTTTCCCAATTAAGAAGCTTAATTAGTACTTCGGTGCACCTTCTGTCATGTTTTCAGCCTTACAGTGGCCCATTTTCACCCATCTACTATGCTAAAAATGTTGCTCTTTCATTACTCTACAGTTGTGTAAACAGCTCTGATTAAACTGGCATTTAATCAAGCGGAATAAAATTTTCCCGACTCCTGAGGAGCTCACCTACTTTCAATGGCATAAAACTTGTAAGAGACAGCTTTCCTTCCATTCGAGCTCTTATTGAGCAGCAAAATAAACTTTATTCGCTCACCTTGCCCTCAGAGTCGTTAAAGGATTTCAAAAGGTCCTCGCATTACAAACACCGCTACACTCCATCATTATCCCCCACTTCCTCCTTCGCATTCCTGCCCCGGCCCTGGGTGTTTCCCTCCCGGTCGCTACCGCGCAACCCGCTCGCCCTCCCGAAGGGCCGAGAGTGGCCCCGCCGCTGCCTCGCTGATGGCGGGAGCGAGATGAGGCGATGCGAGGCGCCACCGCCTGCGTGTCCGCTGTCCCAGGGGACCTCACCGCGCCCCGGGCTGAGGCGCCCTCCAAGCCGCGCTCCCTCCGCCTGACCGGTGACTTTCAAACGCCCCGCCCGCCTCTTTTCTCTCCTCAGGCGCCCGGCGGGAGGGGCGAGGCGGAGCCCGGCTGCTCTTGTTCACCCAGGGCAAAGGGATACTTCCCCTCCTTCCCCCGCCCTTCCTGCGCGGCGGCCTGCCATGGAGCCGGCTCGCCGGAGCCTAGGCACTCCGGAACGGGGTCGGCTGGGCCAGGCCGTTCCACGGCCCGCCCGGTGGAGAGCTGGGCGCATTCCCCGTGGCCTCACCGCAACCCCACGGGCCAGCCCCCGCTCCTGAGAGGCAGAATTTAAACCACCCTCTGGGCGGAAGGATACGGGGCGGAGCCTGCGGCGCGGTCCGCCTGGGAGCTGAGTCCTGTTGCCGGGTGACGGAGTGGCCGAGCCCCTCCCTGCCCGTGGCGCTAGGAGCTGCCGCCGCTGCCGGTTTACGTAACGCCTCCCGGGGCAGGTCCCGGCTCCGTCCCGCCCGCCTCACTCGGGGACGGCAGCAGCGGAACGGAGTCTGCCACCTCCTCCGGCTGCCAGAGGCCCCAGGGTCCCGCTCTGCGCCGCCACGGCAGGTAAATACCAGCCGGGGGCCCGGGGAGCAGAGGTAGGGGCAGAGCTGAAGGGAGGGTGGCTGCCGCTCTCCCTGTGGCAACGGGAGGACGGAGCCGGGAGGCGATGGCGGGCACCCCCTACACACCTTCTTTCCCGCCGTCGCATTGAGGGGCCGGACCTCCAGGGAGCACGGGTCCGGGCCGAGGAGGCCCGCGCAGATCCGGGCATCCCTTCTCTCCGTTAACAGCCCGGGAAGAGGAGGAGTTGCGGGGCCGGGCCTGGCCGGCGCTGGGAGGACGCTTTGCCGGGACGGCGCGTCCCGCTTCTCGGCTGCGCCTGCCGCAGAGCGGCGGGAGCGTGCCGGGGGCAGGGCCAGGGGAGTGGGGAGGAAGCGCGGCGGCAGGAGGAGAGGGGCCGGGGAGGGGGTGACAGGGAGCGTGAGGGGCCGGGCGGGGGGGCCTGGCTGCCGGCCGGCGGCGCGGCAGGGCTCGGGGGCGGGGCCGGGGGCCCGGCCGGGGTGCTCCGGTGCGAGCGCCCGCCTGGGAGCGGAGTACTCCCCGTGCTCCGCCGGTCCGACCCCTGCGGTCCCAGCGTCAGGTGAGCGGCTTGCGCCGGGGTGTGGGGGGGTGGGGAAATACCGGTCTGGAGCGGGAGCCGCGCGTTGAGCTTTCCGGCTAGGTCAGGCCCTGGAGGAGAGGAGAGAGAAGGAGGGAGGTGAAGGCGGCACCCAGCTCCTACCCGTTGTGGATGCCGGCCCGCGCCCATGTCACCCGGCGCAGCGGACGGGAGACGGGAGTATGTGGCGTTTCGCGTGAGGATAGTGAGAGCCTAAGCCAGGCAGACCCTTCCCCGCCCTGCATGGCCGTGGGGTTGAAGTGACAGGGCTTCCTGGCCGGCTGCCGCCAGCACCGGCTGTGTGCGGGTACGGGCACGCCGTGACCTTTCATCCTGTGCGTGACTGTACAAAGCGGCGGCAGCTGCTGCGGACCGGCGAGCAGGAGCCGCGGCCGGGTCTGATGCCTCCGACCTGGGCAGGAGGAAACCATCGTGGGTTGGGTTACAGCGTTCTGGGGTCACCCGGGGACCGAGCTGACGAGAGTCGCTCCCCTCCCGGTTCCCCCCTCCCTCCCCCTGCTTCCCAGCAGCATTGTCCTTTAGGGGCCTATTGAAGGCAAAGGCGGATAGGCTCGGGCTGCTGCTGCCGCCTGAGGAGGAGGAGCTGGGCTGATGGGAGACTGATGGGAGCTGCGTCCTATGGCCGCTCGGAGCCTGGGCGGGCCCGGCAGGGCCGCAGCCGCTCGTAGGCAATGGGCGGGGGGGAGGACCGGACGCACAGACACAAGGTTTAGCGAAGGTTACAGCTGAATGCAGAAGTGACACACACTGACACTTCATTCCAGCTAACTCATTCCTACCTTCTCCTCGTGTCATCTCCATTAAAAGTATACACTTATTAAGTCGTGTCATGAAACTTTGAGAAAAGCGAAAGTACAGTGCTTTTTTTTCTTTCCGTTTTGCCTTTGTTTTAATTAATAATTGCAGTACCCGATATTGATCTGAAGGGTGGGAGTAATACGATTTGCTTGTCCTTTCAAATAAAAGGCTTTCCTGTATCCCAGTGTTTTCTGCTTATAGTAACTTGGGTATAGTTTTTAGGTGTGGGACCGGAGGACACCATGGTATGCAGAATTAATTTTCCTTGTGCAAGGCCTTTTAAATCTTTAGCTTTTTATCTTTCTGCTGCCCACCGTATATTATGTGTTCCTGGAGTGAGGTCGGAATTGTAGATCAAATTGTGTTTCTTAGCTGTCAAGAGTGAGCTCATGATAATTCAGTAGATAATTGTGAAAACCAAACTACTTCACTGCAGTGCTTAAAGCCCAAGTACTGCGGGTTCCTTACAATCCACAGGAGTCTGAAATTGCCAGTTTTCTTTATTATTTAAGACAAAAATATGCCTTAGAAAAGTAAATGACATGTAACTTGATCGTTACTTGACATGTAACTGTACAGATTTTATTTTGTACTAATCCTCCATCTGCTGTTTCTTGTCAGTGCGGATATGCTAAAATGGTATTCCTTCCTATCAATAAAGCATATCATATGGGTATCAAAAATCTTTTATTTTAACCATTGAGATCTAAGAGGGAATGTAGGTAACTTGAATAAAATCAGTAGGACGCTATGTGTTCGTAAGGGTCTTCATTTTCAAAGACTAAGAATTATGCGGGAAATCCTGGTTTGTACACTCAGTGAAAGCATCAGCAATTTATATCCCTGCCATATTCTCCTTAGCAGATACTTCCACTGTACGGTCACAGAACTTTATCAGTTCATTTGCTTTGTGCACTGTTGTGGTAATGATTGAGACCACAGGTGCTGCAAATTCGGATTGAACACATGACCCTCCAGCTTTCCTGCTTGTCAGCAGGGGAGTTAGAAGGAAAGGAAGGGGCAGCAGATCTTTATGTGTATATGTGATCCAAGAGGAAAAATTGAAGGCCTTGAATTTCACTTCTTACCTTAATATGCAGATTTCATAGTCTGAGTTCCTTGCTGCTTTTTTTTGTTGTTGTTGTTATTTGTTATTCTTCCAAGCAAGAGAAATTCCATGGGGGTAAAATGATGTCAGCATTTTTCTTTGCCCATTTAGTGTGTGTTCTAGCAGGAATATGGACAGAGGATGATAGGAAGAACTGATCATAACTTCAGTATTCTTCTTGAGCATCTTGCTTCCAGGTGAATAGGTGAGATGCAGGAAGCCGAGAAGTTGGGTTCACACCTAGCAAAGGTGACTTTTCTGTGGAATTTTATTGTCTTTTAGGCATAGTGCTGTAGAGTCAGAATAGACTTTCTGTCTACTTTAGCTAGGATCCCAGCAAAATCACAGATCAGGTTGCTACTTCTTTAAGCTTTGCATAAAGCAGCATATAAAATTTATAATGATGGATGTGTAAAGCATAATAAACATGCAAGCGTAATGTTAAATATTTCCTTTTAAACCATCTAAATGTTAATGTGTTCAAAACAAGAAATTTGAGCTTTTTATTTTTTTTAATCTGGTGTTTTTTTTCTTTATAGTTCATAAAAGATCCTTATTTCTTGTTATTCCATCACAGCTTGGTTTTCTTCTTTTCTGAAGACATGCTTTTATAGCATTAGGTTTCGTATCTGTCTGGTAGACTGGTAACGTGAAGCCCCTAAAATTTCATAATGGTAACAACTATCAATAGCTAACAACTGCAAGTAATAAGTCATTAGCATAATAAGACAAGTAATGGTGTCTGGTAAAGCAGAATGGGATGAAGACAGCAATTCCTGTAAGCTAGAGGCAGCAGGAACTATACTAGTTATCTGCACTGTTAGCAGAGCTTGGGATCTCCTAGAAGCTATTTAGAATTGGGGTGGTTTCTTCTGTTCTGTGGAACAGAGATTGGAATCCTTCATTTTAGTCCAGGAACAGGGACAGGCTGGTTAGGTAATTTGTAACTGTAATTAGAGAAACGAGTTGGTGTGTTGTGTCCATTCCCCCAACCCCGCCCCAAGAATTTTTTCCCAGTGAAGTCAGTTTCATTAAGGAAAATGAAACTGTTCAAATGAATATTTGAATGTGCAATTTATTTAAATACACAGACAAAAAGGAAAGTGGCTGATAGGAGGGAAAAATATGGGTCTTATTTTAGAATTTGGAAATAAATTACCGGACTTTTATAGGCAGAAATACCAGGTAATTGCAGGACTGTCAGAGTGTTTGATCAGAAAAAATCTAGATGAGCTACTTCGCAATTCTTTTACTAAAAGCATCTTGTTCTGTCTTCGTAAAGGTTGATTGGGTGCATTTATAATGGATCCTGAGCAATTGAGTGTGTATTTTATTGGGCCCTGGTGGTTGAGGGTCTGAGGGGAAGGGTTGAGTAGTTTGAACATTTTGAACGAAGATTATTCTTTCACAGACTTCTTAATAGACATTATTTGTCTAGATGTATTGGAAGCTATAGCGTAATTTTTAATCTGCTTTTCCTTTATAATTTCACATGCAAGCATTTGGATTTACCTCCGTAAAACTATACATTGATTATATCTGCATCATGTAGATTCTGTTCATAACTTAGCTTCTAAATGGCTGCTTTGGTATCTGTCTTTCCAAAAGATTTATTTACTAGGCAGTAGTGTGGAAATTCCAATTATAAAGGGTTTAAATTCATTTTTCACTGTTGTGAATGTAATAGATTAAGTGTATCCTGCTAAGTTTGTGCAGAGTCATTTTTAATATCATTTTTGTAGCTTTTAAAAGTCTTCCCCTAGTTAATACTAAGTTTATATAAGGAACAAGTTCTGCTGGGTAGAACACTGGACTAG